ACAACAACAAGATTCCATTTATAAAGCGCCTTTCACGTCAGGAGGATGTCCCAAGGCGCTGAACAGTTGGGTCAGGACCCGAGCAGGGGGGAAATGGTCAGGGTGAGGGGAGGGAAGGGAGGGAGCGAGGAGGGGAAGAGAGTCGAGAGGGGAGCTGAAGGCACGGTCAAAGAGAAAGGTTTTGAGACCGGCCTTGAAGGAGGAAAGGGAGGAAGCGGCGAAGGCACTGGGGGATGGAGTTCCAGAGCCTGGGGGCTGAGAGGCTGAAGGCCCGACCACCGATGGTAGGGCGGTTGGGGCGGGGGACGTGGAGCAGACCGGAGCCAGAGGAACGGAGGGTACGGGCAGGTAGGTAGGGGGATAGTAGGTTGGAGAGGTAGGAGGGAGCAAGGCCGTGAATGGCCTTGTAGGTGAGGATGAGGATCTTGAAATCAATCCTCTGGGGGATGGGGAGCCAGTGGAGGCGAGCGAGGGTGGGAGTGATGTGGTCCCGAAGCCTGGTGCGGGACAGTACACGAGCTGCAGAGTTCTGAATGACCTGCAGTGTGGAGGGAGGTGGCGGGAAGGCCGGCGAGGAGAGAGTTCCCCACTGACACACACACACACTGACATATAATAATAATAATAATCCTTGCATTTGATATAGCGCTTTTCACGTCTGGAGGACGTCCCAAAGCGCTTCACAGAACACACTGTAAAGTGAATTGATTGTATATTTGTGGGCGAACGCGGCAGCCAATTGCGCACAGCAATGTCCCATAAACAGTCGTAGATTGAAAATGACCAATTTATTATTGTATTGTTTTGGAGGGATTATTATTAGGCTCTGTGTGGAGTAAGGAAACTTGCCCAAGGTTTCGCCCTCTGCCTGGAATTGAACTCAGGTCTCTCACTTGCAAAACGAACGCTCTAACCACTGAGCTACAGGACTCCACGCTCACACACACACGCTGTGACCACACACACGCACACTGTGACACACAACACACACACTGTGACACTCACACACTGTGACACACACACACAGTGTGACCCACACATACACAGTGTGACCCACTGTGACACACACACACACACACACACTGTGACATACGCTCACACACACACTGTGACAAACACACACACACACACTGTGACCCACACACACACACACACTGTGACACACGCACACACGCATACACACACTGTGACCCACACACAACACACACACTGACACACGCACATACACACTGTGACACACATACACACTGTGACACTCACACACACACACTGTGACCCACACACACACACTGTGACACACTCACACACACACACTGTGGCACACACACACACACTGTGACCCCCCCCACACATACACAGTGTGACCCCCACACACACTGTGATACACACACACATACTGTGACCCACACACACACACTGTGACACACTCACACACACACACTGTGGCACACACACACTGTGACCCCCCCCACACATACACAGTGTGACCCCCACACACACTGTGATACACACACACATACTGTGACCCACACACATACACACACACTGTGACACACGCACACACACACTGTGACACACGCACACAGACGCTGTGACCCACACACACACAGTGTGACCCACACACACACACTGTGACACACACATACACAAGCGCACACAGTGAATACCCCCCCCACACACACACTGTGACCCCCCCACACACACACACACACACTGTGAACCCCTACACACACACACACTGTGGCCCACGCACACACACGCTGTGACCCACAAACACACACACTCTGACCCACACACGCACACAGTGTGACCCACACACACACACTGTGACCCCCCCCCACACACACACACAGTGTGACCCACACACACACAAACACACTGTGACACACACACACAGTGTGACCCCCACACACACAGTGACCCCCACACACACAGTGACCCACGCACACACACACTGTGACCCACACACATACAGTGACCACACACAGTGATCCACACACACATACTGTGATACGCACATAGACTGTGACGCGCACACACGCTGACACACTTACACACACAAATTGTGATGCACTCTGTCACGCACACAGTGTGAAACACACACACTATGCCACGCCAGCACGCATACACACATGGCAAAGTTATAGGGTCACAGTCCACGCAGGTTGTCAGGTTGCAGAAATATATCTCACTAAGATCACCGAGTGAGACAGCCCACATCCTTACACCCACTCTTCACCATCACCCCCCACCCCCACCTCAGTCTACTTTTGAGGAGGGTGCGGCAATAGCTGAAGCCTGGGAGGACGGCAGCACCAATGTTAAAGAGCCTCTGTTGCCTGGTGAACAACATATGATTTGGTAAGGCACACACCACTCAAATGTGTAAAATGCAGAGCTCCTCCTCTCTCCACACCTGTAAGGGGAGCTCCGGCTGTAGAAATTTTCTGAACCAGCCTTTCTATGTCCTTCTTGACCTCTCAGTTGCCTTCGATACCGTTGACCACTCTATCCTCCTCCACCGCCTCTCCTCTCATCTCAACCTTCATGATTTGGTACTTGAATGTTTTAGATCCTACCTATCACACCTTCTCCACTTTATCTCCACAAACGGCTTCTCCTCTAGCCCCCGCACTGTCTCATGAGGCGTTCCTCAGAGCTCTGTCCTTGGTCCCCTCCTTTTCAATATCTATATGCTCTCTCTTGGTGACATCATCCGCAGACATGGGGTTAATTTCCACATGTATGCAGATGACACCCAACTCTACCTTTCTGCCTCCACCCTCAACTCCAGGACCACTGCTGTCCTGACCGAATGTCTGTCAGACATCAAGAACTAGATGAGAGCTAACTTTCTACAGTTGAATGTCAACAAGACCGAGGCCCTCCTGATTGTCTCCCATCAGCGCCTTCACACCTCAGGCGCTGACAGCATCACCATTCAAGGATGCACACTTCACCTTGCTAAGTCAGTCTGGAACTTTGGCATCTTGTTTGACCCTCAACTGTCCTTTCTACCCTACATCTGTTCCACGTCCCGCTCTGCATTCCCCCACCTCCGCCACTGTCTCACACTGCAGGCCATTGAGATCTTCATACATGTATTCATAACATCCAGGCTTGATTATCAAAATTCCTGCTTGTAGGCCTCCCCAACTCCTCTCTCCACAGGCTGCAGATCATCCAGAACTCCCACACCAGGCTCTGTGACCCAAACATCCCCATCCTCGCCTGACACCACTGGCTTCCCATCATACAGAGGATACAGTTTAGGATCCTGGTCCTCACCTTGAAAACCTTCCTTGGTCTTGCTTCCCCCTACCCCCACCAACCTCCTGCTCTCTCTGCTCAGCGGGCTCCAGCCTGCTTCATGACCCCCGCCTCGCCTGCCCCACCATTGGCAGGCAGGCATTCTGTCACTCTGCTCCCACCCTCTGGAACTCCATCCCACAGTCCCTCCGCTTCGCTCCCTCCTTCTCTTGCCTCCTTCAAGACCCGTCTGAAGGCCTTCCTCTTTGACCGTGTGTTCATTCTCCCTCTTTCCTCCACCCTCCCTGACCCCCAACTCGGGTCCGAAACACTGATTGTCCAGCGCCTTGGGATGTCCTCTCGATGTGAAAGGCGCTATACAAATGTAATTTTGTTGTTGTTCTTTTTGTGGTATTAGTGCGAGCAATGCCAATCTGACTGTATTGGATGATCCAGATGACAGGAGCTTCTAATACGCATGTGATTTTGCTATCTTTCTACCTTTGTTTTAGTCGCCCAGAGGATGGACTTGAAGGCTGTTGTCCTTAGTTTCAAATGCCCCCAGTCCCACCCTCTTGTGATCTCCTGGGCAGTCATCCTGGCCACTTCCTCTGCTTTGCCAACTCCGGTCTGCTTCATTCTCCTCCCTCCAAACCCCACCATTGCTGCCAATTCTCGAGGTTTCAGGCACCACCCCCAGTTTACAATTCTCTTCTGAATTCCCTCTGCTATGCCTTCTCCCTCTTTGCTTTCCAAACCTGTCCAAAAATCTATGTCTTAACTATGCATTCGGCCACATTGCACCCCCCCACCCGCACTGCACCATCCCAGTGTGTCAGCTTGGCGCAGTGTGCATCACTCTCATCAGTAAAAGGTTCAAGCTTTACGTTGGACTTGGAATCACATAGTCTAATCTAACACTCCAATGCAGTGCTGGGGGAGTGTTGCATTGTCAGGAACGTTGTTCTTTGGATGAGATCTTAAACCACATCAGAGGAGCGAAAGGACCTGGATTTGATTCCTGGGCAAGGCGAAACCTTAGGTAAGTTTCCTCACTCCACATGCCTCTGTTTGCCTAACAATAAGCAGGAACCCGGTTGTTAGTTGATTGGCGGATTGCTTTCCGGGGGTAAAGTCCCTCAAAAAATTAAATAAATAATTTGGTCACTCAATCCAACTTTGTATTCAACTCAATTCAATTTGTAGGACACTACTGTGTGCAATTGGCTGCCCCATTTCACCCACAAAATACACCGTCAATCCACTTTACAGTGCATCTGATGAAGCGCTTTAAGACATCTCCGGGAAGTGATAAAGTGCTATATCAAATGCAAGGATTTTTATTAATCACCGAGTTCCTGTCTGCCTGTTCAGGTGGATGTTATTTGAAAAGGGATGAAGTTTCTCTCTCCCGGTGTCCTAGCCAACAATCCCCCATATTAAATTGGTCACACTCCATGGCTGTTTGTAGGACACTGTTTTGTGCAATTGGCTGCCACATTTCGTCCACAAAATACATAGTCAATCCACTTTACAATATATCCTATGAAACGCTTTTTGAGAGTCTCGATGACTTGTTAAGGCGCTGTATTAAATGCAAGGATTATTATTATTACTCCCCAACCCCATCACCTACCCAGCTAGGACTTGCCCCTAGTTTGAGCCATTCTCCCACATGAGGTCCCTGTGTGTGTGGTTGCTGTGGCTGTGGTTCCCTGCCTCCCTGTGTACAGCACAAGGTCCTCACTTACCGATTATGCCAAAGATATCGAGGATGTTGGGAGCAAAGATGACGAGCAGGTTAATGATGGCAAGAAGGATTGAGGCAATGACGATGTGTCTCAGCCAACTGAAGGTCTTGTTGGGGAACAACATCTGCTGGATAGCACGGCGCACCTGGGACCAAACAATGTGCAGTCTTAAACATAATATCACTCCTTAACACACCTGAAGTACAGACCTCATGTGGAACTATGGGTCAATTCAGATGAATATTGCTTAATAATAATAATAATCGCTAATAATAATTGTGGAGTCCTACAGTGTATAGGCTAGAGCATCCGCCTCGCAAGCGAGAGGACTTGGGTTTGATTCCCGGGTGGGGTGAAACCTTAGGGAAGTATCACGTGCCTCTGCTTACCTAGCAGTAAGTAGGAACACGGTTGTTAGTCGATTGGCTGATCGCGTTCCGAGGATAATAATCCCTCCAGAAAAAAAATATGAAATGGATACTCAATCCATGACTGTTTGTGGGACACTGCTGTGTGTTTCGCCCACAAAATATACAATCGAAGCACTTTGAGACTTCTCAAAGACATGATAAGGCGCTATATAATGTAAGTTGAGATGTGTACAGACACAAGTCCTCACTTGTCTGTTTCACAGGATTTACTGTGATATACAGTGACTGCGTATTTTGAAGGCAGAAACAGCAGTCACTTTGCACATAACAATGTCCCACAAAAAGCTGTGAAGTGAATGACTAATTTTATTTGAGGGATTGTTGGGCAGGACACCAGGAGAGAGAAATTCCCTTCTCCGAATAGTACCACGGGATCTCAATCATCCACCTGAACAGCCAGTAGTTTAAAGTCTCATTTAAAGCAAGGCAGCACAAGCCCAGCACTACACTGCAGTGTCAGCATAGACTATATGAGTTCCACATGGGTCTTAAACACACAACCTTCTGACTCAGCAGTGAGAGTGCTACCGACTGAGCCAGGCCGATACACAACTGGGGCCAGATCATTTCTGTGGGACCCTTTCTCCCACCTGATCCTCAGCTGACAGTCAGGCTAATTTAGGTGAGGCTTAGGCTGTTCTCTGTGGAAAGGGAAGGTTTGCTAGAGCTGAGCGCTTACCGGGAAGAGTACAATGGGCACAGTGAGCGCCACAGCGATGAGCACCGCCACACGCACACACAGCACCAGCGTGTTGAAGGGGTCGATCCTGTTGTAAGTGTGCAGAAGTTCCGGCTCCACGTTTTCTGGAACAAAGACAGAGGTAGAAAGTGTCACAGATCTGGGGGCTTGGCAGTATCTGACAATGAGCCCAGTTACAACATTTAAACTTAGACACAAGTCCAACATTTCTGTGGAGTCCTGTAGCTCAGTGGTTAGAGCACTCGCTTTGCAAGTGAGAGACCTGAGTTCAATTCCAGGCAGAGGGCGAAACCTTGGGCAAGTTTCCTTACTCCACACAGAGCCTAATAATAATCCCTCCAAAACCAAAAACAATAATAAATTGGTCATTTTCAATCTACGACTGTTTGTGGGACATTGCTGTGCGCAATTGGCTGCCGCGTTCGCCCACAAATATACAGTCAATTCACTTTACAGTGTGCTCTGTGAAGCGCTTTGGGACGTCCTCCTGACGTGTAAAGCGCTATATCAAATGCAAGGATTATTATTATTATTATTAACATCAGAACTTTTTGAAATAATTAACAAGTTCTCACCAATTTTCTTGGGGAGTAACTGATAGTTACTTCTCCCTCTCTACTTGGTTCACCTCTCTCCTGTTTGCCAGCCAAGTTCAGGTGGCTAGTAAGCACCAAATCCCACAGATGTATGGGTGCTGGAGATGGGGCATCCGACTATCTCTGTGTACACTAATATCACACTCTGTGTACAGTGGTGTACAGTCAAAATTAACAGATGCCATGTGTGGGGAGCAGGGGATGGTGTTGCCAATAGTTAACAACATAGAAAGGGGCAAACACAGTGTGGTAGTGGCAGTGGCCTCAGGTCTCCCCGGCCACCAACCTGCCCTTACTGCTCCATTGTATCCCACCATCTTTAAGCCCTCCATTTCCTTCCAGCCCAAGGCGTTATTGGAGAAGAGAAGGGAGTTTCTCTCTCCTGGTGTCCTGGCCACCAGTCCCCAGTTAAAACTGATCAATCACTTCATGGCTGTTTGTGGGACATCGCTACAAAAATGCATTGCCTATAAAATACAGTCACTACACTTTACAGTAAAATCCCCTGAAGCACTTTGAGAAGTCTTGATGACATGATAAGGTGCTGTATCAAATGAAGGGAGAGGGGAAGTGGAGGAAGATGACTAATGCAAGAGCTTGTTCAGCACAGTATCGGCAAGGCTCTGTGCCAGGTTTCTGCTCTTGTTCACGAGCCACTGCTTGTGTGAGTTATACATATGCACAGCTTGGGTATCAGTCTGTGACGTCATCACCTCAATAGATGCTCAACACTCAACTCACTCAGGAAACTTGGCACCTGAGTGAGGTCCAACTGCTGCCTGTCTCCAGGGAATCTCAATCCAGGCCTCCTCTCTCTCCCCTGGCCTCCAGGCTTTGGGAGAAGGAAGTGAGGGGTGTGGACACACAGTGTGTGGTGTCTTCTCTTACTGCTCCATTGTATCCCACCATCTTTAAGCCCTCCATTAGGAGTTAAAGAACACAGCCCTAATAATATGGAAACACAAGTGCTCTACTGAGAGTTCTTGTAAAGTGTAGTAACTGTGTGTTTGTGGGTGAACGCAGCAGCCAATTTGCCCACAGCAATGGCCAGCCATAATCATAATCTTAAACCCCTTATTTTTGGTCTAGGGTATAAACTCCCTTCTCTTTGCAAATGGAATCTTGAGACTTTAATATCCACAAGAACTGGCACAGAAGGGATCTTGGTTTAGCATCTCAGCCGAAGGATTGCAACTGACAATGCAGTGCTCCCCCAGCACTACTCTAGAGCACCAGGCTGGACTGAGCCAGGCTTGTGGTGCAAGGAGAAAAGGAGCAAAAGGCTAAAATGCGTTTTGCTTTGACACTCACCGTAAAACGTCAAGTAACCGAAGAGTGCTGCGAAGAAGTACATGATGTACATGAAGAGGATGGAGATGTTGGAGACGTGTTGCATGGATTTCTTGGATGGACTGAAATGCAAGACACCGATCACATATAACGTCCAGTCATAAACCACAGTGCTCCAGCCAGCAACACCTCACTGGCAACTGTTGTAAAGTGCAGTGACTGTGTATTTCTGGGCGAAACACAGCAGTTTCCTGCAATGTCCCACAAACAGCCATGAAGTGAGTGACCAGTTTTATCTGAGGAGTGTTGGCCAGGACACCAGGAGAGAAAAATTCCCTTTTTTTGTGAATAGAGTGATCCAGCGCAGACACCAGCCCAGCTAGCCTCCTCCTGTCCTCAAACAATGTCTTTCTCCTCCTCACTCCCTGGAGTCTTTATTCCCTTCCCTCTTTTGCTCTCATCCGCCACCTTGCAGCTTCTTCCCCACTATCCCTCCACTCCCTTTCTGCCTTTCCATGTGCCCCCAGGCCTTAGGCTCAGGATTCATTGTGATGGCAACGAGCGGCTCAGAGCACACGGGAAATGACGACAGCTTGTATTTATCCAGCATCATCACACAACATAATGGCCCTGAGTGAGGGAACAGAGCAAGGGGGGGGAAGGGGTTTAGGTACAAGTGAAGAGGTAGGTTTTAAAGACAGACAGAGAGGAGGTGAAGGGTAGAGGGAGTGAGTTCCAGAGAATCGATATGTGAAAGCTTAGCTAATGTTGGGACAGGGTGCAGTGAGCACAGGCGGTTGGGGGGGATGAGAGAAGTGGGGTAGAAGGAATCCAGGCAAGAGGTTTAACATCTCACGCAAAGCACAGCACCTCTGACAATGTAGCGCTCCCCAAAGCACTGCACTGGCATTAGCCAGGACCATGGGCTCAGAGCTCCGGCGTGGGGCTCGAACCACAACCTGCTGACTCAGAACAACATGCTAAGAACTGAGCCAAGCTGACACTCCCTCCCTAACCCAGGCCCACCTGACATACAGCAAATGACATCACAGAGAGTTATACCCAGAAACAAGGCATTTGGGTTCTCAGTTGAATGCCCACTGTCCGCCCGCTCCCCACACCCTTTCATACCTCTCTCCAAGCCTCTACCTGATTCCCTGAGTAAGTAACCAATGGTCCTTGCCCAGCTATAGTCTGTGACAGAGAATTCCACATTCCATCTAACCCTCTTCCACATTTTCTAAACCCCCCTCAAATTCAAGTTGTTGTTACCTTCCTCAGCTGCAGGACACACAACCTGTGTTCCCCCGCTATGTAAATGCACATTTTCTAAGCTGTCCTTTAATTGCATTAGTCAAGGCCCTGAATTTGTGCCCCACCGTGAATCACGTTACAACAGGCCATCAGAATGACATTTGGATGGTAAGTTTGGAATAATTTCTGAATTCCAGGCTTGTTTTGTTGCCAAATGCTGTACAGTTTGAAGTTACATCTACCCACAAAATGAAACCCAGCTCCCCCCCCCCCTACAGGTCCTGGTCATACTTACTTTTTCAGCTCGGTGTAGATTGGCAGAACCTCCGGGTGACAGACAAAAGAGAAAGCCATGATGGGAATAGTGTAGGCGGTCTGTAAGCCAGAGACAGCACGTTAACAACAAGACACAAGCCATGAGCCAGAGTGCCCAGTTGTGCCGCTCTCTGAACCAGCTGTTCATTCTCATTCCCATCAATCCTCCAATACATCTCCTTTTTACTGATTTATCTAAATTCCCCATAAAAGCAGTGACATGCCAAACACTGCACTTTAATGAAAGATGATTGAATCTTATCATGGGGCTTTGGATGAGGGAAGGAGATTGGGAGACTACTCTTTTTGTCTGAGATCTCTAACTTTCACCAGATGTGCAGACAGAACCTCAGATTAACATCTGATGGAAAGAAAGCAGGGGATTCATTGAATTATCTCAGGAGCTGTGTGTGTGTCTGTGTGTGTGTATGGGTGGGTGGAGGCATACAAATCCAGCTTGGACATCTGCTAAGATATCAGAAAATAGCAATAATGCTCACATCTGATTATCCTCGCAACGCCTGTCATGTAGGGGACATCTCAAGGGACTTTACAGGATTCACTGTAAAGCGTAGTGACTGTTTGCTTTGTGGCAGCTAGACACCAGGAGAGATAAATTCTCTTCTCTTTTTGAATAGGGTCAAAGGATCTTTGATGTCCACCTGAACAGGCAGACAGGACCTCGGCTTAACACCGCAATAATATAGCAAATCCCCAGCACTGCATTGGAGTGTAGGCCGAGAGTATATGATTCCAAGTTCCAACATGGAGCTTGAACTCAGAATCTCTGACTCAGAGGCAATAGTGCTAGTGACTGAGCTAGGCTTAGGCAGATATATTTGTGAGCTGTGTATACGTGCTTGCCGGCTGGTGGATCCGAGTACCTGGGAGTTGACTGTGAACAGGTGAGGCACACACTGGTCTGGGAGCACCTCATGCGTGTACTCCTCGTAGCTGGGAGTGTATTCTTGTTCAGCCTCTCCTGGAAGCGAACTATTCCCGGTGGACGGTAACATGCAGGGCACTTCGAACTTCTTATAGATCACCTGAGTAACACAACGGCACACACTGAGCCATCAGATATTGATCACAGCCCAGGCCACCAGCCAGGCCCCTCACACAGTGCCACCAGACTAGCCCCACACACAGTGTCCACCCACCAGCCCAGGACCACATACTACCCAGCTCAGTCCCTCACATAGTGCTCCCAGTCCAGCCCAGGCTCTCACACTGCCCCAGACCAGCTTAGCCACTTACACGGCCCACAGCCCTTTCCCTCACACACTGCCCCGAGCCCAGTACCTTCACACACTGGCCCCAACTCAGCCGCTCAGACACTGCGCACAGCGCATCCCAGTCCCTCACATACTGCCCCCAGCCCAGCCCAGTCCCTCACACACTGCCCCCAGCCCAGTCCAGTCTCTCACACACTGCCTCGAGCCCAGCCCAGGCCCTCACACTGCCCCTAGCACAACTCCTCACACTGCCACCAACCCAGCCCCTCTCACTGCCCCCAGACTCTCACACTGGCCCCAGACCCTCACACTGGCCCCAGACCCTCACACTGGCCCCAGACCCTCACACTGCCCCCAGCCCAGTCTGCTCCCCACGCCCCCCACCAGTGCTGCACTCACCACGATGAGGAAGAAAACCATGCAGGTGAGGGAGAAGCCACTGGTGTAGCCCAGATAGCCTGAGGGAGCAAAAGACTCATGTCAGATAGTGGGTCAACGAGTGAGCGCTTGGCTTGTCCGCACCATGCCAGCTTTGCTGCTGTCTGTCTGTCCTCTCATTGCCACACAGCCCTCACCAGTGCCACTCATCACAGCCACTCATCACTACCACCCCCCACTGCCACTCATCACTGCCACGCACCACTGCCACTCATCACTACCACTCCTCCCTGCCAATGCCACTCAATACTACCACTCACCACCGTCACTGGCCTGCGCCTTCTCAAGCCTTGGTTTCAATCCTCCCCCTCTGCCTACCCGCTCCCCATAAACTTGCCCTCTCTCGTGGGAGCGCTAACCCCCGCCCCTCCTCTGTGGATGATGGTCAGGAACAATTGAGCACTAAATGATTAAGTGTTGCCCCAAACGTTAACCCTAACTGAGCTCAGACTGAAATTCCAGCCAGTGTCTTGCTCCTCCTCGGCCTCTGGAGTCTTCTCTCCCCTGGTCTAACATTGGGGATTATGTGGTAATCCCAGCCCCAGCTGGGGGATCACAGCTGGGGCAGAGGGTCTTTTATTGTTGCTCACTCCCCACTCCCCCGCACCCCCCACCGAGCGAGATCACTGTAAACTCAACTACAGTTTCACAAAGCCCATCACAGACTGAGAATCTGAGCCAGTGGGAGCTGGGGCTGGGGGGAGAGGAGACAGTCAGAGAGCTCAGGTTAATAGCTGTGGTGGAAGTTGCGAACTGATGGCAAAGAGTCCCAGAGCGGACAGAGTGACTGAAAGCTGGGCTGGCAGTGGTGCAGCAGGTCTGAGCTGGGGAGGGGGCGGGGGGGCCAGGGGAAGTCAGACTGCGGATCACAGAGACTCCATAGCGTGGAGTCATTATTATAACGAGGATCCCAAATCCACTGGGAAACAGGAAGGTGAGGGAAGTGGATTTGGTCGAGGGCTTAAATCAGAGTTGATGGCCAAAACTCCAGTACTGAGCACAGATTGTGAGTGTATGTGAGTCAGGGCCAGAGGACGGGAGCTGGAGGGAAAGTAGTAGGATGTTGACATTCAGTTGAGCTCGTCTGCCGTTGCACTCCGCTCCAGGAGACAGGATCATTTGCTGTGATGTGATTTCAGGCTGAGTAATGCAGGTAATTAGTGTTCTGCTCTTAGACCTGTCACCTCAAGGTCTAGGTTCAAAGCCAGGCCAGCCTGAGAGGATGTGGGGCTCATCTCCAGCAAGCGAGATGGGGTCCTGGGAACAGACAATCCGCTCTCTGCTGAGGGTAGTTAAAGGGCTCCCCACTTGGTGCAGTTTATCCCAGTTCAGAGCATAGGGCTGCCTTACCCAGCACACACCTCTTTTATCTCATTCGATGAGATGTTAAATTGAGGTCCCGTCTGTGACTGGTCAGGTGGTCGTTAAAGACAAATCCCATGACACTACGTATTTGAAAAGAGAGTTTCTCCCAGTGTCCTAGCAATAATAATAACAATTCTTGCAACTGATATAGGGCCTTACCACGTCGTCAAGATGTCTCAAAGAGCTTCACAGAATATCCTGTAAAGCGGATTGACTATACTTGTGGGTGAAACCCGGCAGCCAAATGCACAGAGCAGTGGCCCACAAACAGCCATGGAGTGAGTGACTTTTTTGTTTAGGGGATTGTTGTCCAGGACATTGGAAGAAACTGCCTTGTCAAGTTGCGCCATGGGATCTTTAACATCCATCTGAACAGGCAGACGGGATCTCGGTTTAGCATCTCCATCCGAAGGACGGCACCTCCAACAATGTAAAACAGCTCTAGCACTGACGAAACTGGTGCTTTGAGTCCTATATACAGGAGAAGACTTGTGAAAGCCTCTCACTTGAGCAGAGAGTCCAGCAGTGTGAGGAGGGAACTGAGTGAGATGGAACAGAATGAGAAGTCTGTTAAGGAATTTGGTGAGAGTGGGAATTTTTTATCAAAATTTTTGATTTTTGATATAAATGACCTGGACTTGGGTAAAATGGTACCATTTCCAAGTTTGCAGATGATACTAAGCTAGGAAAAGTAGTAAACGGTGGTGAGGATAGCAGCAGACTGCAAGAGGATATAGACAGACTGGTAAAATAGGCAGACATGCAGCAGATGAAGTTTAATGTGGATAATTGTGAAGTGATGCATTTTGGGAGGAAGAATGAGGAGAGGCAATATAAGCTGATGGTACAATCTTAAAGGGGGTGAAGGAACAGAGAGATCTGGGGGTTCATATAAGTAAATCTTTGAAGGTAGCAGGACAGGTAGGAAAGCTGTTTAAAAAAAATACGGAATACTAGGCTTTATAAATCGGGGCATAGAATACAAAGGTCAGAAAGTTATGATAAAACACTGGTTAGGCCTCAGCTAGAATACTGTGTTCAGTTCTGGGGACCACACTTTAGGAAGGATGTCAAAGCACTGGAGAAGGTGCAAAAGAGATTTACCAGGTTGGTACCAGGAATGAAGGACTTCAGTTATCAGGAGAGGATTAGGATTGTTCTCCTTGGAGCAGAGAAGGTTAAGAGGAGACTTGTTAGGCTTTCAAAATTATGAGGGGATTCGATAGGGTGAACAAAAAGAACCTATTTCCACTTGCGCATGGGTCGGTAACTTGAGGGCACCAATTTAAAATGGTTGTTAGAAGAAACAGAGGGGCTGAAAGGATGGTGGAAGGCGATTCGATAACAACTTTTAAGAGAGAAGTAGATAATTATTTAGGGAGGACAAGTTTGCAGGATTATGGGGAGGGAGCGGGGGAGTGGGATTGATTTGGAAGCTCTTTTCAAAGAGCCGACACAAGCCTCCTTCTGTGCTGTATAATTCTATGATTCTATGAAGTCCACAAGCTTCTGATTCAGAGACAAGAGTGTTGTTGTACGCCAGGACACCGGGAAAAATTCCCTTTTCTTTTCAAACCCAGATAAAATTGATCATCACTTCATGGCTGTTTGTGGGACACTGCAGTGTCAGGACAGGCTAAGTACAGCTACAGATACACAGTCACAACTCATTACGTAAACACTCTGTGAAGCGCTTCGCTTTGAAACATTTTGTCATTGAATCAAATGTAAAGATTATTATTATTAATTGTGGCTGGAAAGAAGCATTTCAATATCCCAGTTCAGAGTCTGAGCCGGCTTCAGCTGTTTTGCTGACAAGTAAACCTCAGCCCAACTAAACACAAAGTACAATCATTAACCCAGTCCAGCTCGGTTAGCAATTCACAGCTCGCATCAGTACGTCAGCAAGCTCTCCACTGTTTCCCTCCCATTCTAACTGGGTCACCTCGGCACTACACTCGGGCCCACAGCAATCAGTTGAAACAAATGTAATTATTCAGGGCCTCTGAAAACAGAGAGGTTTAACCACACTGGATTCCTGACAGGAATGACGTCAAGGTGATAGAGGGGGACAGAGAAGATTTACTAGGATGATCCCGGGGAAGAGTGGTTTGGCCTATGAGTGGAGATTGGAGGAACTGGGACCTTTTCTGCTGGAATAAAGAAGGTTGTCCTGATCAAGGTCTTTAAAATGATGAGTGGTTTTGATAAGAGTCAACAGGGAGACATTATTTCCATTGGTCGGTGAATCAGTAACTAGAAGCATCAATTTAAGTTAGTAAACAGGCAGTAAACAACATCAATAAATTTGTATAGGGTCTTTCATGTCAGGAGAATGAGGAGGTTAGGAGAATTTCACACACAGTGGTTAGGATATGGAATGTCCTGCCGGGAGTGAGGGTTGAAGCAGAATCCATATTAGTTTTCAAGAGGGAACTCGATAGATATCTAAAAGGAGTAAACTACAGGGGTGTGGGGAAAGGGAGGGTAAATGGAATGAAAGGATTGCTCTTAAAGGAGCAGCACAGACATGATGGGCCAAATGGCTTTCTTCTGTGCTGTAAATTCCTCTGGTTTTATGACTGGTTTTTATGGTTTTAGTGCTCTTCATTAATGTAACAAAGCCACCTCAGGCTTACCACTCCGTGCAATTGCCTGGCACAGCAGATTGGCTGCTTTTGTCACCTGACAGTAACATTTGGGATGGATTTCAGGTTCATAAGGTCCCAGCCTCAGGCCAGTTGAAGCTGACCACTGTCACAGTGCTGGGGGGGGTGGTGAGAGGTTCAATTTGGAGGATGTTAAAAATGACGGAGTTTGGGAGCAGTCAGTGGCCGGGCGCAGCTTGTCCTGACGCGCGCGCGCCTGAACTGTCATGTAACCAGCGCAGCACTGACCCAGCTGCTTCATCAGAGCCAACGGCAATACCACCACCACCGTCGCCATGATCACCAGGTAGTTCCCGTTCAGGTACCACTCGCTGCAGGAGGAGATAAGACAAGACTGTCAATACTGTGTCTGGGGCTGTGACCAGAGGGCACGCTGTAATCAAACCAAACCACAGAGGTACACAGGGCAGATAGACACAGTGATATATATCACTGATATAGCACCTCCCGGGCTACACTCCCCTGGAACTTGTTCACCTGGAATCCAGCCCTGCAGCTTTGATCAGAGGAAAGTTCCCGTGGGAGGAAATATTTCTGAATCCTGAACGTATGAATGCAGGTTGTGAATCTCGTGACCCTTATGTGTGTATTTAGCAAAAGATACTTCACAGACTTGATCCAGGTCACGTCAGTGATATCGTAGCTGCCATGTTATGCACCTTTATAATGCAATGTCAGGGGGTTATGGTCCTGAATTAGTGTGTAATGACGGGTCTCCCGTGTATAGAACTAGTATTAGTGAGTGATGTAAAGGCAGAGTAGCGGTGTAAAGGAAGTCAGTTGGTACAACAATAATTTGCACTTACATAGCGGCCTTCACGCCGGCTAGTGTCCCAGAGCACTTACGTAGAAGTAGATAGACCCAGCCCAGCAGTTTCTTGCAGCTGGATTAGAGGAGTGGTGGAGGGATGTAATAGGCTTTCTAAAGTAGATGCCATTCAACTGGAGGATGGTTCAAAACAGGGCCCCACCCACCCCCAGGAAGGGGGCAGGGCATCCCACTTCCTGCTGTTTAACAGTTGGGGTTGAATTTCAGCTTGTTGCCATGGCGCCAATGAACTACCCCCTCCGACCCTCCCGCTGGCGAGCTGACACAAACATTCCCAAAGACTCCCTTTCACGTCTATATTTACTCCCCACTCGCTCGAGCCAAGCCATGCTGAAGCCAGCGTCACAGCTTCACACCCACAACTGTGAGGCTCTGTGTGACCGAGCAGCCTCACTCTCTCCCACCACCACCCGCCCAGCTCTGCACTCAGTCTGTCCCAGCCCCGCACTGGCCCCAACCCTGACAACACCCCCCACACACAGCTCGCTGCTCGTTCACAGCTCTCACCTCACATAACCTCAGCACTGCCACAGGCCACAGACAGTCAACGTCTCAAACAGGGTAAGTGGGTAAAAAGCTCTCTGGAACTTGTGGATAGCAACAACAACAACATTTATTTTATCTTTGTGAAGTGCCATTCATGTGAGGAAGATGTCCCAATGCGTTAAGGATTCATACCCTAGCTGGAGGTTGGAATCAGAGAGGGGTGGAGGGAAAGGTGGTTGGGGGGGCAAAGATGACCAAAGGCACAGTCGAAGAGATGGGCCTTGAAGGAGGCAAGGAAGGGGGCGGAGTGATTCGGGGATGGAGTTCCAGAGGGTGGGGATGGAAAGGCTGAAGGCCCAACTGCCAATAGCAGACAGTTATGGGGTTAATAGGTCGCAGAGGTAGGGAGGACAGTGTTAGAGTGAGCTGTGATCTGCAGTCCTCACTGGGGGGATTTTATAGGCTTCATTGTGTGATTCTACGATTCTTTCCAATTTAATAATAATAATCTTTGCTTTTGATACACTGCCTTCACCGAGAAGTCTCAAAGCGCTTCACAGGATTTACTGTAAAGTGGACTGAAACATTTAATTTGGAACTTTGTGAATTACAACTTTGTATTTAACATAGGCCAAAGGTCCCACTCTTGTGACATAATAATCTTATATCTGACACAGTGTCTTTCACGTCTCAAAGCGCTTCACAGGATTTACTATAAAGTGTAGTGACTGTGTGTTTGGTGGGTGAACGCAGCAGCCAATTTGCGCACAATATCCCACAGCATGGAGTGAGTGACCAATTTTATTTGTGGATTGTTGGCCAGGACACTGTTGTTGTTGTCCTCTTTTCCAATAGTGGTGCAGCATCTTTAACTGAACAGACAGACAAGACCTTGGTTTAATGTCTCACCTGACCACTACATGTAAAACCCTGTGTACAGAAACAATTCTAGGCGCTCATAATAAAAAATATTGGGACAATTGGAATGAATCATTGAATTATACAGTGGAGACCCCCATCCTCTTCCGCCAATGAGCACATTAGAGGTCTAACACTGACTGCTCGCTCCAGGGAACACTTTTTTACAGTGGAAATTCACCTTGTTGCTGTCCGGACAGCAGGTAAGAGTGGAGCAAACTCACTCTCGTACATTTACTTCACACACTTTCATCACGTCCAGGCTTGACTACACCAACTCCCTGCTCACTGAACTCCTCAGTTCTTCCCTCCTTAAGGTACAGAACATCCAGAATTTTGCAGCTCATGTCCTCTCCCACATCTGGCTCTGCAATACTATCACCCCATACTCGCCCTGCTCCCCAACCCCCAAATTTAAATTTAAACCCTTAAATCTCTCTACAGTCTTGTTCACTCTACCTCTATCTCTGTGACCTCATCACACCCTACCAACCCAGTTGCTCCTACTGCTTAGCGAATTTCACATTCCTGACCTGTCCACCCCGCTATCAACGGGCGGCTCTTTGGAACTCCAAACTCCATCTCAGAGTCCCTCCGATTCGCTTGCTTCCTCACTCGCTCACTCCCTTCCTTCCCATATTCAAACCCACTTCAAGACCTGCCATTTTGATCATCCTTTTGGCATCCTTCCCCACCTCACCGCAGGCTCCCACCCCAGGCTGGGAGCCCAGCCAGCACTGCCTCTACACTCTGACATGTCTTCCCGAGGAGTAAGCTTTGTAAATGTAAATGACATTGCATATTCCCGCTGGTGAGGAGATGTTGACGCAGACAATATCCCAGCGACTACATCCCAGAGCTGGAGCCAATGATAATCATCACAGCTACGGGTGTGATGAGCCGAATGAGGTGTTACTTACCCGCTTTTCTCCGGGATGTTCAAGAACGCCTGGATAACCAGGGGAAGCTCGTACTTCACAATATACAGGTAACTGGACATAGCTGGAAGCAAAGAAATAACATTACACAGAGTCCAAAGTGTAACCCAAAACCCAACATTCCGAATCCCTGCACTTGGTGTCAGCCTGGCTCAGTTTCTTGCACTTTCGCCTCGGAGTTGGAAGGTCTTGGGTTCAAACTACACATCAGGGCTTTGAACTCATATTGTCCAGGCTGACACTCCAGTACAGTGCTGGTGGAGCGCTGTATTGTTAGAGATGCCATCAGATAAGACGTTAAACCGAGTGCCCGTCTGCCTGTTCAGGGTGATATTTTGAAAAGTGAGTTTCCTGGCCAACAATCCCCAAGTAAAATCAGTCACTCAATGTCTGAGGAGTGCGCTGTGCGCAAATCAGTGGCTGTATTTGCCTACAAATACAGTCACTGCACTTTACAGTAAAACCCTGTGAAATGCTTTGAGACATCTCGACGATGTGATAAGGTGTTATATCAAATATTATTATTTTATACAGAGACTGAAACATTGAAATGTCTCAAATCTTTTCACAGGGTGTTTTGTGGGTGAACACTTTGCATATAGCACAGGACTGCAGACAGTCACAAAGTAATGACTGAGTGATTTATAAAACGATATTGGCCATGACACCCTCTTTTCCTTTCTGCACATCAACCAGTCAACAGGACTTGATTTAACATCTGATCCAAAGAACGGCGCCTCCAACAATGCAGCGCTGGGGTGTCAGTCTCCACTGGGAGCTCCATGATGTGATATTGGCTTGAAGGCTTGAGGGTTAGAGGTGAGAGTGAACTCCTGAATGAGATAACCTCAATCCCACCAGGATGCTCGGCCTCTCCCCTGCCTCCAATACTCAGACTCAATGCCGCTCCACAGTCACTACATTTTACTGTAAAGTCCTGTGAAGCACTTTAAAGTATCTCGATAACATGATGACATTGCAATATCAAATGCAAAGAGATTAATTTTGCTGACATGGTCTCTATCATCTGATCACAGGGATGTCCCAAATGTTCCCAGAAATCAATGCAAATTATGTGGCCCTCTTGAGGCAAGAACACAGAACTTCAACATCTCAATTCACTCCGTAGATCTAAAGGATTTGGTGTGGGTTTTTCCCTCCACATTGTAATTCCGTAAAATGTCAGCTTTCAGATCTCAGCATTTGCCCCTGGATCTTAGGCTTATTACCTCCGATGTTCTGCAGGGTGATTGCTAAAGCAGCCGCTAACTTCCCAGGAGTTCCAAATGCTCTGTAACCAAGTTGTTCATACGCACGGATTCCTGAGAGGAGAGAGAGGACATTAAAGCTGAGAAACATGGACGAGGGATTTCAGGCAAATATCTGGACAACTTGAAGGTTTATGGTCATAATGTGAGCAAAAAGTATACCCCCCACAGACTGTCGTCCCATGGCCTGATCCCCCCCTCCCCCAGGCTGTTCCCCCCGGGGCTGGCCAATCACCTACGCATGTCACTCACCGACCACGCCGGACGCCTTCAGCAGGAGGTGAATGGAATAGGTGGAGAGGAGTGCGACAGCTGTCAGCAAAAACCTACAACAGAGTGACATAGAAATAACATGACACTTGGTGATTCCCAGCTCCTCCCTGTGTTATTAATAAACCTACATTTGATACAGTGCCGACAATATTCGAATGGTTCAATAGTGCTTCACTGGTAACATGTGAGATTCCCAAAAGGGTTTTAACCTCAATGCCTAGCTACGATGCAGACAACCCTCTAGATCGCTGTTCTCATCTCCAACTTCCATGAAGTGCCAAGTGAGGATTAAGAGAAGACGATTCAGAGGGGATCTCAGAGGTGTACAAAACGTTAAATGTAATTGNAAAAATAAACCTAGATCAATACTTTAGGATGAACCAAGACAGTAGAACAAGAGTACACAGGTTTAGAGTTGTAAAAGGAAATTTCAGGACAAACACAGGGATTTGTTCTTTGCCCAGAGGGTAATTAAGGACTGGAACAGGTTACCAAGAAGTGGGAGTTGAGGCAGGATGCTGGGACAGCCCTGGCGATTACCAGCAGCTTGATGCTGAGATGGGATCGGTAGTTGGGGTGGCGTGTTCTGGAAAGATGAGATCAATTGGGCTGAAGGTTCTTCATCCAAACCGATCCCATAATTGTGTGAAGTTGGTGGCATCACAGGGTGATCACATCCTGCATCTGATAGTTACGAAGCCTTTTGCAAATCTCGCACATTAGTCCCAAATACATTGGGGTTTGCAGTTTACAAAGAGCCTCTGAATGTTTCCTGGGAGATGAGATCTCTCCTGAGCGGTGAGGTCACGTGTGGCTGCAGCATGCTTCTTGCTGCACATACTAATCAGCCTCCGTTGTCTTCTAGTCTTCTCACTGCCAAATAGGTTAGCAGAACAAAGGCCCTGTTGACCCATAACCGTTCTGTCCACATCCCACTCGTCAGCACATTTCCAAAGCAACTTGTTGTTGAGAAACAGTTTTTATTCCTCTGAAGGACTTTGTTGTTTTCCCTCCCCCATTGTCACTTTTCAGATCACATCCTCTTCAGCCTCTCCCACCATGCCTATGGTCACCTCCTGTTTCTCCCCAGCCCAGCATCAAACTCCACCACTGTCCCGGGCTCTGAGACGCTCCCCCAGACACCAGCTCTATAATGAGAGTTGTTGCTGTTGTTGAAGTTGTGTAAACGGTGGGCTCTCATAGCTTTCTACTGCTCTCCATCCCATGGCTCTATCTCTCCATCTGCGTGGATTCCCTCTTTAGGTGTGGCTCTGCCCTCTATCTTCACACCTAGGACAGGAGCTCAGGCTGGGGGGAACCTCAGCACAAACCTGCGCTACACCCCGGCCGTTTACAGTGTGTCTGTTGCCATACCGAAAATTAGCAGGTACCCATACCTGTCCTCGGGTAAACACACTCACTGCAGTGCCCCCCACCCCACCTGCAAGCTGACCTCAGGCTGACATTGGGAATAGGCTCCCGGTGTAATGCTGTTCTCAATGAGTGGCCGGCTTCACAGCTCGCTGTGTAACAGCAGTCAGGCCAGCGGAGGCCTGAAGCCCTCAGTAACAGAGAATCCTGGCAGTGGCTGCTCTGAGCAGCTGATCTCACATCTCAGTAATACAGCAATGATTATTACTGAGGGTACAGCTCAGTGCATGATTGAGCTCCTATGCTCCCTCCCCGTCTCCACTGACCGGGAGCTTTAGCTGGCGAGTCTGTCTGTGATGGAATGGGAGAGATTGATGCTAACATCTGGGAGATTTATAGCGGAGGATTAAACAAGTGAAATTACCAAAATCTTCTTACTTTCCCCCATTGCCAAGATATGGCGCTCAGCACGGGGATCCACACGTGGCTATACAAATGTAATTTTGTGGTTGTTGTCAGCTCCGCCCCCACCCAAGCTTCTCCTCGCTGCAACCCAGCGACATTCTTACTCAACTGAGACTGATATTTCACCCTTCACATAGCATAATAATAATTATCCTTGTATTTAATACAGCTCCTTATCACATCAGGAGATGTCTCGAAGCACTTCACAGGACAGCCAGTTGTGCACAGCAATGTCCCACAAACAGCCGATTTTATTTGGGGATTGTTGGCCAGGACACCAGAAGAGAGAAACTCCCTTCTCTTTTCCAACAGTGCCACGGGATCATTAACATACACCTGAACAGGCAGACAGTACATCTCAGCCGAAGGTCGGCACCTCTCACAATATGGCGCTCCCCCAGTACTGCATTGGAAGGTCAGCTTACATTGTGTGCTCAAAATCCCAATGTAAGGCTTGCATCCACAACCTTTTGACTCAGAGGTGAGATTGCGAGAGACTGAGCTGGCTAGCATCTATATAGGCCATTGCTGGTGTATTTGTTGTTGAATGCAGCAATACAGTGAGATATTTTGAGACATCATAGGCGGGATAAGAAAAGCAATAGTGTTGTGATGAACGCATCAGCCATGAAGTGGATCTACTCTGTCCTCGGGCTCTTTGGTTTATCTCCACTCAGTGTGTCAGCCACAGAGCCACTGGGTTGTGGCTTCAAGCCCCATGTTGGGATATTGTTCTCATCGCCTTGGCTGACACTCCAATGCAATGCTGTTTGGGGGTTCAGGGGGGCAGCTGCATTGTCAGAGGTGCCGTCCTTCCGTGGCTGTATGTGGGACATTGCAGTGTGCAAATTGGCTGCCACTTTCACCCAAAAAATACACAGTCACTACACTTTACAGTGCCCTGAAGAGTTCTGAGGCTTTGAGATGTCTTGACAACCTGATAAGGCGCTATACCAAATGTAAGGATTATTATTCCGTGTAAAAGGGGGAAGAATTGAGCCTAACAGTTAGTGGTGAGAAGCTGTGAAAACCACAGTAAGCTCGCTCTGTGCCGCTGGACTTGGTTGATGTTGCAGTTGAAAGGAAGACTGATAGACAGTAGAACCAGGATCTCAGTACCTCTCATGACGTCTTGAATATTTGATTTGAATCACTGCCCAATAATGTGCCATTCATAGCCATTCACAAACAGGAGCCAAGCATGCAGTCGAAACCTCAAAATAAGTGGCGATATCTCTTTAAAAGGATGGGGAGAGAGGGAGGGAGACAAGTTCCAGCTGCGCAAATGGTCTCGTATTCGCCTCTGGCACATAAATAAATGTATTTTTGTCCTATTCAATTACTCCTATTGGAAATGAGATTTGATTTGATTTCCTCCGACTGCACTGGACTCACTCTCTCGTGACCCAGGTCTAACCCAGCTCTGTGACACAGGCTTCAGAGCAGGCCTCATTGGGGCTTCCCAGTGAATGTCAGTGTTCAATGAACCCAGGGGCCTAGCATTCTCCACCCCCCACACCCCTCCCACCCAGCGCTCTCTCTCTGTTCAGGGCCGACAGTTTTAGTGTTGCCACTTGGCCTGATTTTGACCAAGAGCGTGAGCGAGAGAGCAACCGGAAGAAACTCACAATGTCGGTGGGAGCAAGTAATAATAAATAATAACCCTTGTATTTGATATAGCGCCTTATCATGTCTCAAAACACTTCACAGAATGTATTGTAAAGTGTCTGTATATTTTGTGGGCAAAATGCAGCAGCCAATTGTGCACAGTAGTATTCCACAAACAGTTGTGGATTGAGTGACCAATTTATTATTATTTTGAAGGAATTATTACCCCGGAAAAGCGATATGCCAATTGACTAACAACTGGTTCCTACTTACTGCTAGGTAAACAGAGGTGTGTGGAATAAGGAAACTTGCCCAATGTTTTGTCCTGCCGGGAATCAAACCCACGACTCTCGCTTGCAAAGCGAGCGCACTAACCACTGAGCTACAATATAGGTACTAACATAAATGTGAATGAACCATGAATAATACCTCGTTCGATTGAAACTTTTGGTCACATGGACTCTTTTTGTTGATGGTGGAGTCGGGGGGTGGTGGAGTCAGGGGGGTGGCCAACACCACCATCTGGGGGTCTCTGTGGTGGCAACACTGTAAAGTGTATGTGTCTGGGAGGGAGGCCTGGAATCAGCCAAGACTCTCTTAGCCTTAAAAACTGAATTTACAGATGTGCAGGCTAGGTCTGAAGCCTGCAGGCCAATCAGTCAAAGTTCATTCTCTGGCCTGGCAGAGTGGGGATTTCATCACTTCGCAGCAAATAAACATTTGGAAATAATATTAAAGGAAGGACATCACCTGACGGTGTCGCTAACAACATTTGTAAAAAAAAACCTCCGGAAGTTTCAGAACAATATTATTCGCGTAGCAATTTTCTGCACCGAACAAGTCTATTCATTGTGTCTTTATTCCTGTTTTTGCTTTTTTTCTTGTTCCCAGTTACCACCTTGCTCCCCATGTCCCTTCAACTCCAGCTGCTTGTCTGGCAAGGAGCACCCTGCCCAAGGCTTTTGCTTGCAGGGTTATCAGGAGTGGAGAGGGAGGAATCCCTGCCCTTGCTGACTGGTGTTCTGTTGTTCCCGCTGAAGAGCCAGGGAGGCTGGTTTGTCACATCCAGAGCCTTGGTGCCTCGCTCAGGAACCGGACTGTCATGAGGAGTGACTGTATTCCGATATTCCATTGCCAAGCGTGTAAGCCTGAAGCAACTCAGTGCCACTTGTCCCATCCCCTACCTCAAGGCCTGTGAGGTGTTTTGAGATGTACTGCTGACGTGCAAGGCACCGTATATCAAACGTACAGACTATCATTATTGTAGTCACTAATTCACACTGGTTTCCAGTACTGACTCACTGGCTTCCTGCAGGAAATAAGGCTGACTTCTGGGCTGTCAGACACATTATGTACATGCATAGGAAGCCTTGTTGATGTCACTTCCTGTGCACTATGATCAAAGTGATGTCACTGGCACAATCTGTTCATGTGCAGCTGGAGTTGGGCTGTCAATCAGTGAGGAGGAGGGATGGGGCAGAACAAGGGTGGGAATATCGAGATTGATTGACAGGTGAGCCGCTTGTGAATGGGTGGAGCCAATCCATTCACAAGCGGCTGCAGACTGTCAATTACTTCAGTGTCGTCCATCAGGAACAGCAGTGGGAGG